AGTTAGCCCTTTAGATTTAACTCTCGTATGAATGTTAACAATCAAATAGTAGGGCGCGTGCGCGTTAACCGATGGTAGTAGCTAGCCGTGGGTAACACAGTGCGGCGCCGCGCCATTGCGCTGATACCGAGAGCTGAGTTACTGGCGCCGATACCGATTTTCCCAACTCTGTGACGCAATGGCGCCAGCAACACCGGAACACTAACAACACCGGGCGGCGCAAAGAACCAGCAAAGAACACACAAAAGCGAAGTGTCACTTGTAAAATGTGCAGCACAAGGCGAATTTTTACAAGGTGGTGTTGCTAAAATTAGCCGCGGTCCTTCTGAATGTGAAAATTATGTGTTTGTTGTATTTTTGGGTTTTGAACTTGGCTCGTTTTTGCCCAACCGATACCACCTTGTATTAATTCACCTTAGTTTAACACCGGAACACTGACAACACCGGGTGTCGCAAAGAACCAGCAAAGAACACCCGAAATAGAAGTGTCTCTTGTAAAATGTCCAGCACAGCTAGAATTCGTCGCGGTCCTTCTGAATGTGAAAATGATGGGTTTGTTGTATTTTTGGGTTTTGAACTTGGGTATACTTGAGTTTTTTCTCAACCGATATCACCTTGAATTAATTCACTTTGGTGCAGCGTGCAGCAACAAAGGAAATGAGCTTTAGCCTGAAGAGGCGCAATTGCGCCAACACACTGTGCTGATTCCGACAGTGGCGCTGGAGTTAGTGTGTCAGCGCCAAAAAATTTGCGCCGTTACCCAGGCCTAGTAGTAGCTGAACTGTCTATTAATTTGCCGCGAGGATGGTAGGCGACCGTGCGCCCTCGGTAATAATTTTCGGAGTCGCTTCGACTCCGCACAGCGATGGCCAACGGATGCGCGCACGGCCGCTGAATTACGTTTTAAGCGGCGGCTTAAACATAGGTGAATATCGACTAACTGAATGTCGCCAGCTTTTAATCAAATTTAACTCCTTGGTTATGATTACTTCCATTCTTGCGAAGGCTGATGTGTGTGGTTCGCTCCGTGTCCAATTCGGAAAAGGAAAAATACTTTCCTAGCCTGGTGGTATGTGACTTNACGGATGCGCGCACGGCCGCTGAATTACGTTTTAAGCGGCGGCTTAAACATAGGTGAATATCGACTAACTGAATGTCGCCAGCTTTTAATCAAATTTAACTCCTTGGTTATGATTACTTCCATTCTTGCGAAGGCTGATGTGTGTGGTTCGCTCCGTGTCCAATTCGGAAAAGGAAAAATACTTTCCTAGCCTGGTGGTATGTGACTTCCGATTCTTTTATCGTATGTCAGTGTGGGCGTTTTCATAGTGGCAATGTCAATTCGTGTATATACCGATATGATGGTTGTGTCTTGGACAAACATTGGTTACGTACATTCATCTGGCAATCCCGCCCCTTTTGAAGTTTCGCTTTGGCAGGTTTGTTATGTTTACATTTCTCATGATTGTTCTTATATCTATTATTTGGCCACTAAAAATAATAGATCAAAGAATTATTTCGTATTTTTGCGAGTGCAGACGTGCAACAATTTTAGTCAGAGCAAGTGATGCACACACCGTATTCTTCCAAAATTGTATGAAAGTTATAGCGCTTTTCACATTTGTTTGAGTTATTGTCAATGAGAAAAAAACGCGCTGGAGTTAATGCATTGTTTGACTTTGCAGTCATTCACGTTACCGCGAGTGCACTTTATTTTATAATTTTGTTAAGCCCTGCAATATTTAAAACAGCTCCGTTCGAGGACAAAGATCATCAACTAATTTCTTTTAATTCTTATTGAAAAGTATGAGGCAAAAAATGTGTGTATGTACGAATGTATAAAAAATTACAATACATAACTGGTTATTTATATCTTTTTTGAATGTGTTACATCGTAAGAAAAGGCAAACTCAAAGGACCAATATCTCATTGTTTGGTTAACACTAACTGCAGGTTAAATATCTTTATCGACGTGATCGACTCCATAACATATAACAAGGAGTCGATAACGGCGATAACTATATATGTAATACTTCTATATTGCTGGTACATTTAAGGAATATTCCCCAACATCAGATTAACGACATATTGAAAAAAATATCTGATAAGAAAATCTGCTGAAAATGACAATTTTACTTTTCAAAATTCAGCAACGGTTGAACAAATTCTTATTGAAAAACAATTCATATGAAAAATTAACAAAAAATACAATTTTTGTAAATATATGAGAAACGCTGCGGATGCTGGTGGTGGCAGAGGATAAAAATATTCGTTAGAGAAGAACTTGGCATCAGTTGGCATTTTCAATTGGCGTCAATTAGCATAGAATGGAATCGAATAGCGTGCTTTATTGGATTCGGCCAACATATAAAATACCATACGCATTAGGCGATTTTCCAGGCAATTTTAGAGACGATTAGTTGAATCAAAAGTTGGCTGCACCCCAACTTCATTGGAACCGTTTAGTTGAAAGGCCGTTCACACCAGGCGATTTTTGCTTTCGACTAAAAGTTGCTTGTAAAATCGCCTCATGCGAACACCGTATTAGGAAAAAATCTTATATTTTCTAAATTTTCAAATTTCCAAAAACGAAGAGCCGTAACCGCTAAAATAATGTATATATTTTTTTAACTTAGTTTTTGATGCAGGTGCTTTAAGAGCATTTATGCATTAAACTTAAATTTTTAAAAAAGTTCGCTCACTTTATTTTCGATATTCATCGCGGCTTGAAGGAAATTTGAGACCGTCAAATTTGTGTTTGTTTGTTGAATTACCTGAACCGCCCCTGTTATGATATGGCATTTCATTTTATGTCGTAGTTTTCAAATACACACGTATACTTCTACAATCAAAAAAATTTTCATAGGCTGTCTTTCTTTGATTTCGAATTGAAAACTCATTGCGATCATATTGTAATAGCAATATAGAGTATATAGTATAGTATAGTAGTATAGTATAGTATTACATACCAGGGATGTTGCGAATATTATTCCGAAATAAAAGTCCTTTCCGGATAATAAACCAACCGCTCATCCAAATTAAACAAGCTTGGTATCAAATGAAAGAGGACTTACATAGCAGGGTTGTTGCGAATATTATTCCGAAATAAAAGTCCTTTCCGGATAATAAACCAACCGCTCATCCAAATTAAACAAGCTTGGTATCAAATGAAAGAGGACTTACATAGCAGGGTTGTTGCGAATATTATTCCGAAATAAAAGTCCTTTCCGGATAATAAACCAACCGCTCATCCAAATTAAACAAGCTTGGTATCAAATGAAAGAGGACTTACATAGCAGGGTTGTTGCGAATATTATTCCGAAATAAAAGTCCTTTCCGGATAATAAACAAACCGCTTATCCAAATTAAACAAGTTTGGTACGAAATTAAAGAGGACATTAATATATTTTTAACTGAAATGTCTAAATGAGGAAGGCCAGATATTTAAAAATATTTCAATAAAAAATGTTAATCATGTACCATAGAACAAAACTTGTGCCAGGTGTATGCCAGGTGTAGTTTTAAATTTAAAAAAATATAAATTAAGATCGTTCGTTATCTCTGTTTAAAAGCTATTTCATTCCTCTTTCATATGATATCAAATTTGTTTAATTTGGACAGGCGGTTTGTTTATTTTCCGGAAAGGACTTTTATTTCGGAATAATATTCGCAACAACCCTGTTACATAGCTTTAAAACGGAAATGTCTAAACGAGGAAAGGCACATATTGAAAAGTATTTCAATAAAAAATGCGAATTTCTTTAGTATTAAATTAAAAAGAAAACTATAAATAGAGGTCGTTCGTTATTTCCGTTTAAAAGCTACTTCAGTCCTCTTTCATATGATACCCAATTTGTTTAATTTGGAAAGGCGGTTTGTTTATTATCCGGAAAGGACTTTTATTTCGGAATAATATTCGCAACAACCCTGTTACATAGCTTTAAAACGGAAATGTCTAAACGAGGAAAGGCACATATTGAAAAGTATTTCAATAAAAAATGCGAATTTCTTTAGTATTAAATTAAAAAGAAAACTATAAATAGAGGTCGTTCGTTATTTCCGTTTAAAAGCTACTTCAGTCCTCTTTCATATGATACCCAATTTGTTTAATTTGGAAAGGCGGTTTGTTTATTATCCGGAAAGGACTTTTATTTCGGAATTATATTCGCAACAACCCTGTTACATACATATATGGCGATAACGATGTTTAACCTGTAGTTAATGTTAACCAGGCATTGAGATACTGGCCCTAGGGGCCCTTTGCACCATTGTCTGGCTTAATACTAATAGCTCACTTATACATACTTAGCGTTGCATGAGAGTTGTTACATAGGAAATCTGTTAAATGAGATTTTCGTGTAAGCGGTTACCCAATGCACAGAATTACATACATATGTCTACTTGATTTGTTGGGTTTTGACTTCTACGTAAAAATGGCATAGCAGTGCAAAGTATGCATAACTGAGCTATAAAGGCTCGCATAACCATTTGTACCAGTGCAACAAAAATTTAACTTAAGAAAATGTGAAGCAAAATCTAAACTCAACAGATCGCTAAGTTTTTAAAAGTTCTGCTAGTTTATGGGTAATGAAACACACACAAAATACATACAAAGTACATATGAAATTACAGTTTAAAGTTTATGCGAAGTACCAGACCATAAGGGCCGTATGTTATACATGTTATATTTATGCATGTTATCGAAAACGTCGATAATTGTGTTTAACTGGGAGGTAGTGATAATAGACACTGAACAACCGGCCTTAACTGGAGGTACATCCTTCTGTTAAGCACATCGAGTGCTTTATAGATCACATGTTATAGGCTGGGCGTCGATAACGTCGATAGCGATGTTTAATGCGAAGTATGCATAATCAGACCTTAAAAAGCAAGCTCTGTTCCATAAATTTAAATAAATTTTTTTTATCCTATATGTAGAAGGTGTCTGGTTCTGATACATGCATATAACAACCAGGTTGTATTAATATTCAAGTTCTTACCTATTGATGGTCTAGTAATAACTATGGGTAAGTTCTTTCCATATCTACATATTAAATCTTCAGTAAGGGCCTTGCTGTATGCATATGTGTTCGGAAGTCCATTCAGCAGTCTAAAGAAGAGATTAAATTTAATTTACATTTATCTTGATGAATTTTATATATTTTTTTATTTTATGACTTAGGCCCACTTGCCGAAAATCCAGACTTAAATATATAAGTAAGAGTTAAATATATAATATATATGGCCCAGAGTTAAGTAACCCGAGGGATTTCTAAATTAAGTAGGCACCACTCTCTCTTTTTTGACGTTTGTTTTGATTGTTTCCGTTTATTAATTGAAATTGAATATGAAATTGCAAATACAAACAGAAAAGCTAAAGAATATGACAAATCTTAAATAAAATGATATTTCATTGCTCTGCAAATTGGCCAGCGACATTTCTTCACTGCATACGCTTGGTGCATTTGAATGGCATATATTTTTCACACGAGACTGACCGAAACCTCAGAGATGAAGGCGGAAAAAATTTATATATGCATATGCATGTACACATGTATGCACGTTTGACTGCATCACTCTCCATAAAAAAAAAAAAAAAATCGGCACTGTTTTTCCATTGGAATTATAAAATCTGTTATATTTTAAGACGTCCACCAAAATATTTCGGAAAAATATTAAGATTTAAGCGAGCTGGACCGATTTGAAAATACCTCCAAAAATGGAGTTTTTTT